AAAGAAATGGAAAATCAGTATTGGAGGTGGCGATGGCAAGACGGAGCGCCAGTGCACTTCATTTTTCTGCGACCTTGCTTCACTCCTGCCACGATTCCGCCCCTCTGGATTGAGCCTTGAGCACGGGATTTGAAAATTTATCAACAAGACACATGTGGCTATGGCCTGAACCACGGGCATGCAAAATGAATGATTTTGAATTTGTTTTTTTTTAAAGGCAAAAATAGAAACAAATTTTTAATTCCAATTTTTTCGCGCTTTCATGGCTGCAGCTCACGTCCTATTTATGGGATGGCTTTTTTCCGAGGTTCAGACCATAGATGCAAGTTTCACGAACATTTTGCCGCAAACCGCATTCAATTATCTTTATTTTTGCGCCCGGTAGAGTGGCACAAAGGTACAAAAATGGTGTTGTGAGAAAAAGCCCTTTTGGTAAAAACGTAGATTTGACATGTTTTTTCGGATTATAAATATGTCTTATGACGTATTTTAGTTCAATTTGCGCCAAAATGTTCCTCTTTTCGATGGGTCCTATGAACAAAGACCGCTATGCTTTGCGTCGTTTCAACAAAGACCGCCATGCTTTGCATCGGTTGAACAAAGACCGATATGCATTTGAGGTTAGATCGCCCTCTCATTTCATCTTAGTAAGTTCCATAGTAGTCCGAACAAATGTGAGGTGATAGTGTGCTCATTTTGTGCATGAAACATTAGAGAATCAGAAAATTTCAAGTTCCAGTCCGCGATCTCATTACCTCAATTGAAAATCGCGTTTCTAATGGGAGAGGGAGAAGCGGCCAAAAGCATGGCGGTCTTTGTTCAACGGATGCAAAGCATGGCGGTCTTTGTTGAAACGACGCAAAGCATAGCAGTCTTTGTTCATAGGACCCATCGTTTTCAACTGCGTTTGGGTGGTTCAAGAGTTTTGTAGTTGGAGTTCAAGTGAAAAACCTAAACGTTAACAATTGGTCTAAAATATGCAACAATAATTACCTTTTTTTAGCAACTTCAAAAATGTGCACAAGCCAAAGTAAGGGGAATTTAGGGGTGGGTTTTGCGGCATTCGACTCGGGATGAATAGCAAAAAAATAAGATAAAATAAAAAAGAAGGCAAAAATTTGACCATTGTCACTGGTGTGCCCCCTTAACTTCAGAAACGTGTTTAGATTACCCTACCCCAAGAAACGAATTTTCATCCACATATCGCAAAATTTCGACTCTTTTTTGTCGGGCACAGCACGGGCACAGCACGGGCAGGTACGGGCGCATTACCCGAAGGCGGGTCGAGGCTCGAACCCGCATGCGGGCAGATGCGGGCAGATGCGGGCAAGTACATGCAAGTGCGGGCAAGTACGGGCAAGTACGGGCAGATGCGGGCAGGCACGGGCAGATGCGGGCAGACGCGGGCACATACGGGCAGATGCGACTGCATTCGGAGCGCCATGAGGTTTGAGCCCGAGACCCCTTCGTGGACGAGTTCGGAAAAGCTAAACGAGTAATCAGCAGTGGAGCAGTGCTGCCCACCTGGCTGCCCGCATCTGCCCGTACTTGCCCGTACTTGCCCGTACTTGCCCGCATCTGCCCGCATGCGGGTTCGAGCCTCGACCCGCCTTCGGGTGATGCGCCCGTACCTGCCCGTGCTGTGCCCGTGCTGTGCCCGTGCTGTGCCCGTGCTGAGCCCGTACACGCCCGTGCTGTGCCCAGATTTGCTCAGGCTGTGCCCGTAACGGGCGCGAAATTTTTTTGTCTGGGGTGATCCCAGCTGTGCGTCCGTCCCACAGTGGGACGAAACCCGAAAAAAGTGGGCGATAATTCTGGGATGCTCCGATTGTCTCCAAAATAACAACCCGGAGGTTTTGGTGGATGAAAAACTTTTTCCCGTCAAAATTTGAAAGCCAGAAACGGATGCTAGGGGCGGAGGGGCTAAACATGTGTCATGTTTGGCGCTCCGCTGTGGCATGCTCTGGTCATATATGGGAAGTTGCCAAAATTGTGGGTCCTTTTCTGTCTTTCGGCCACAGTTTCCTTTTTTTTCGAAGTATCGACATCACAATTAGTATTTAAGAAACGGGAAACTACATAATAGGGTTTTTGACAAAATGTGTCAATCACTGACAAGTTAACCTAGTTCAAGGAGTGAAATGCAGATTTGGCCGATTAGTCTCTCTGGGTTGTTGGATCCTACACAGACAACAAGCTAGGGCCCGCCCTTCCGTCGAACCGAGTTGCCAGCTCCGCTTCGCTGCGCCGGCAACTCGGTTCGACAGGGGGCCGGCCCAGCTTGGCCTGCCGGCGGCCTTTCCTCGGGCCTTCGGCCCTCGCATCAGACCCAACTTGGCCAGTCGAAGGCCCGGGCCTTCGGCCCGCTCGCATTACACACCCCGTGAGCGGGTAAAGCAAAGTTATCGATGTACCATCGTGACTTAGGCCCACCCTTCTATTCACAATATGCAAAAGTCCTTACACTCTTTACTCCAACTGTCCTTAGAATATGCCCATTTCATTTGTCACTTAGCCCTCATTCCGAAAATACCCATATTTGCCATGCTACTGCAACTCCTTGCAATAGAGGCACAGCAGAAGCGCAAAACGAGTCCGTCGCACTTTTTTCCCCCATAACTCATGAAGGCGGGCTCCTGGACCCCCCTTCCGACCCCTCATTGAAGAGGTCTTGCCAAGACCTATCGAAAACTTAAGTAAAAATTTTCAGTCGGTCGACCCCCTTTTTTCAGGATCCTGATGTGACTAATAGACGAAGTCGGGCTCCTGGACCCCCTTTCCGACCCCTCGTTGAAAAGGTCTTGCTGAGACCAATCGAAATCTGCAATAATTTTTTTTAGTCGGTCGACCCCCTTTTTTGAAGATCCTGATCTGGCCAACTTGTAAAAGCGGCCGATGGGGTCGGGACCAGGTCCATTCATCTTGTCTCGTCGCCCCGATTCCAAAAATACCCCTATGTGCCCTGCTATCACCAATAATGGCGGAAATCCCCCTCCCGCTCATGTAAACCATGATGCACCTGCAGCAGCCCTTGTGCGACCCGGACGGGATTTGCACCACCGGATTATTTGTTTGGACGGTACTCCTGAAGTACCCTCCAAATCTGGTTACTCTAGCTCAACTCCTTCCTTGTACACAGACACCAACAACGACAACAACGACAACAACGACAACAACGACAACAACACACAGACACAAAGGCAAATGCATAGGCCCCCCCTATTTTTTGAATAGAAGGGCGGGCCAAAAACGTTCACAAAATGGCGCTGACCATAGTTTTCCTATCTTCGGTCCAGACTTTAATTTATCAAAAATCGAAATTTTACGGGGAAACTTGGGACAGTCTTTTCCTCATGTTTCCAGCAGTCTTAGCCTTCTAGGAGTTGACTGTCTCGGTCCCTGACATACCTTTAACTTCGGATTTTTCGCCGATGATGGAAAGAAAGTCCTTGCTCTGCAGTTTTGCCTTCTGGTAATCCATATTTTTGAAATTTTCAGAAATTGCTTGGATAATACCAGTAGAAAAGAGAGTTCCACGTAGAGCCCTAGATAAAGTCCAATATCGGTCCTACAAGAGTTCCTGGGCCTGGATTTTTGGTCTACCTGTTGTGACTTAAATTTATTACATCCATTAACATGAATAGATGCATGGGAATGTAGCTGGTTACCTACTGTCCCAAGTTAACCCTGGTCATGGGGTAACTTGGGACACTCTTTCGAGACCGCCGGGAAACGATATAATCGAGGCAAATAAACCAGACAAGCATGAAATCAAGGGGAAAGGGTCAAACTTTAACATAGTTGGGATCAATTGGTCTGGGTTGAGAATGTTGCCTCTGGCGTTCAAAAATCATGAAAAAGTGTCCCAAGTTACCCCCGTTGACGGCAGAGAGGTAAAACGAACCTTATTGCTGAATTCTCGCGAAACTTTGGATTTGGGGGTTTCATTGGTAGTGAAAATCATTTCTGTGGAGATAAAAAGACAAAATATATACCCAGGAGACGACCTAACGCGCCTCTTGTGCCGCGTATTGATACTGGCTGCACCTGAGGCCTGCGTAACGATGCATGTCTTGGCGTAACAGCATGACCAGGGAAGTTGTTGAATCACTATCGGTGGCAGCCCAAAACGATGGCTGGTGTGGTACAGTGTCTGGCAGAGCTAGCTGAAGTAGTCAGCGCGCTTAGCGCCTCTGCCTTCCTCTGTCGAGGGCGTGGTGCGGTGGCGGTGTCGGCGGCGGCGTGGCGCGGCGAGACGAAGTCGCATGTATGACGTCGATTTAAAGGAAAACGGCATCGAACGGCATCGCTGGACGAAATGGACATGAATGTGGGGTCACCATCCTATCTCACCACGGTGCCCGACCGGTTCGCAAATGTTCACAACTCGACTTATCTCTCGTCAAAAAAAGTCGCAGACGACGATTTTCGCAAACATTTGAAGACCCGCAGTTTTCACAATTTCGTTTGAAACCAATTCCAATGAATTGACTGTACAGCTTGATTTTTTGCCTTTCCTAAATCAAATAAAACATGTTATTTTGCTCTGCAACAGCGATAGGAGTGGTCTTTCTTACGCGACCCCCGCCAAATTTTTAATTTTCTCGCAAAATTGCCATACTTTGAGGTCCCTTTACGGCAAGAAGTAGTTATTTGAGGTGCCAATATTGTTCGTAAGCGTATAGAATGGTCCATTCTGGGTTCAAAACGTCGGTCCCATCCCTCTAGGACAAAAACGGCGAAATCAGACTTATGTGTGACTTTTTCCGGTTTCGCCCCATTGTGCGCCGCAGGCGAAGCAAGGTACGCCAGGCGTGGATTGGAGGAACAGGCAGCGAGACATCGCGAAGCCTGTTACGACAAGACACGGTCTGGCGTAAACCTACCTTGTTTAGTAATTTGTTTAAATTTAAAAGGTTTGCCTGATGACGCGACATCAAACTTCAAAGATTTTTTTTATCCTAGTGTTCTTTACTTGGCTTTGTTTCTTCATGTTCCAGCCGCTCACTGTTTTTCCTACGTGCAGATACGTTCTCCAATAAATCCTGATAGATTTCAAGCTGCTGCGGCGAAGTACCGTTCAGACTGGAACTTCCAGGAAAGTTTTGCACAAAGGAGCAAGGTACGCAAAACATTGACCTTTTCACAATTCACCTTTAAACTTTGAACTAACGCTCGAAACACAGTGCAAAACGTGCTCAGTTGCTGATCTCTTATCTCCAGTGTTTGAGTGTATGCACTCACGAATTACAAATGGATGTCTCTTTCAACATTATCTTTTTCAGATTCTGGATATAAAGATTCCCCAAAATTACTACGGTGACTGGAATAAATACCAAAGTGACATTGCTCTAATTAACGTTAACTTTGAGTTGAGTGAGTTCGTCCAGCCAGTGTGCATCCGTTGGGATAAATCAAGTGCCCCCTCTGATGTGTGGGTAAGTTTCATTAAATGTAAGCTTGATTTTTTTAGGTATTGTATTTTGGGGAAACCTGAATCAATATGCCGCGCCTTATAGTGCCGTGTGTTTTTGACTCTTTTTACCAACCTGGTGATGCTCATTTGAACAAAATGTCAAAACCTGCGACATGGATTTTTCCTATGCCTTTTTTGTTTGTTTTTGCCGTATGTTGTCATGTATTAGTGTAACGAAAACTAAGAAAAGTGTTCCCTTACAATGGCCGGGAGTATAAAGGATAGATTTCAGCCAAAATTTTCATCCTTTATTTTGCAAAAATGCAAAAGGCAGGCAACCCATCGGGCTTCAATTTTAATTTTTTCGCTTTTTTCATGATTCAGCTGATCAGATTGGTTAAGCTTGTGTTTTTGATCAATCTCTAACCCAGCAAATCGAATCCGACCCGCCGAATCACGCAGTAAAAGAATCACTGACATCGAAGCCCGATGGGTGCCTACCTTTAGAGAGCGTTTTCCGGCAGGGTGGTGAGCAGGAGTTCGAAACTTGCGCTAACTGTCTGGAAACGCGTGATTCTGAATTTAATTCTGAATTTCAAGGTGTCTGACAAGGAGGCCTTGGCGCATCCAATGCCGCGGTCGGCATAGCAGTAGCCCCACTAGTTCAGCCCCTACAAGGGCGCAAACACAGGTGTTGTTTTTTCGTCGAAACACAGTTTTTAGGCTAAAAATTGTGAAGAGACCTTAATTCAAGGGCCTAAAAGCATGTACCCGATGGCTTTAGCTGTCTGGAAGACCAACCCCGCGGCGCGGCTGTTTTTAACCCCTTCGCATGGGGGTTGTGCACTCCTAACTTAGGGGTGTCTTTTCGTGGTTCGAAGGGCAGCTATCGACATGGTACCTTTTCGACGCTGTGAAGGGTGGTGTCTCCCAAAACCCTGCTGTGTTTCACCCCCATCCGAAAAGCAGAAATTCCTCAAATCGCAGGGGGTTGAAAGGGGGTTAAGCGTTTCGGCCTCTCCGAGGGTGACAACGGGGTGCACAGGCTCAGACGCGGTATCCTCTTGATCAGGGTAACCAAGAGGATGACGCCAGCTTGATCTCAGGGCTGTTCCTCAAGAATTGTGGATTTTGAACACACTTAATGTTTATGTAAAATTTTGTACGTGCCACTTGCACGATTTTGTGCAAGTTGCATGTGCAAGTTTTTCCGATTGTCCAATTCCGTTAAACATTCGATTCGAGACCGAAAAGAAATAACCCCTCCTTTTTGCGTTTTGTCCTGAGACGATTTTAAAAATAGGCTCAAAAGCAAAATTGGTTTTTAACCCGTTTTAAGCACCAAAGTTGTTATAACAATCACAGTTTTTGTAGGATTTTCAAAACTGAGAGGGGAAAATGTTCGGTTTTTGACGGCAAACAAGTTACATCTTCACCAATTTTTTGTCAGACTTCGTCCTTGGTATGCTGCTAGCGATTTTTGCTCAAAAAAACACATATTGTTCACTATTTGGAGATATTTCTCTTGTTTCGGACGGCCGAGGTGGGTCCCTTTCCACTTTCTCCACTTGCGGACATCTCTTTGGAAGTCCTACTTACTCCGTTCGGCATGTATTTTGATGCTGTTTTGCGTGATTTCTTCACACATCGTCTGCCGACTGCAGTTTTGACGCTTTCCGCGTCAAAAGTCAGTCCTGCCGCGGCGCCCTGCAGAGGCAAAGCGCGTGGTTTCCCCTCACTAAGAGGGCAAGAGGACGCGCGCTGGGTTTTTCCCTGCACCCCAAGTCACTTTCGCTTTACGGAGCCCCACGGAGGCGAAGCGCGCAGTTGCCCCTTACAGGGGGCACGGAGGCACGGGGGGCGGCGAGGGTGGTCCCAAAAAAATAAAAGTTTTTCCTATCGTCCAATTCCGCTCAGAAATCGATTCTAAATCGAAAATAACAGGAGAAGGCGCGATATACATCAACAACTTTGGCCCGTCCCGTGCATTAAGAAATGTGTGAAATTCGCCTTTGTTGGCTGAGCGATAGCGAAGCCCTTGCCGTGTTTGGGCGCTCCAAAAAGTGACTGGTCGTGCGTCTGTCTGTCTGTCCCTCTGTCTCTCTGTATGTAAACACTCACGTTTCTCAGCAACTACTGAACGAATAGTGTCCAAATTTCACACCTGATGTCTCCTAAACATCCTACAGAGGGAGTTTATCTCAAATTAACAATTATCATCGTTCGAATTATTTAAAACATCATTTTGAACTAGGTCATTAGCGTGGTTAGGTTGGTAGCAGCGTGCGGCGAACCAATTTCTCATATCGGCTGCCGCGCTTGCAAGCCGTCTGCAAGACGGGACGACACTGATGCAAATAAACAAACTAAAAAGCAAGGGGGTTCTCAAATAGGTACTGAGATAGTTTTTTAACATTCTAGAATGATTGAAACCCTTCCGGAGTGTCAACAGAGGAAATTCGGAAACTAAATGTGAGAATGGTTTACGTGTTTCGTTCCCCTCTCCCCCCTCCTCCGTCACAGGGGAATCTTCCCTCAGGTCAGAGCACTGAGTGTAGTTGTGGATTGTAAATAGAATGTTTTCTTTGCCTTTGTGTGCATCTACTGATTTCTCTCTGACACTATCCTTATTTTTAAATTTCATAGTAAATCAAATCAGGTAAATGCATGAATGGGTGATTCCGTGCGTAGGGGGTCATTTTGGATGTACCAAATGTCCTTTTTTAAAGTTCAACTTTAGGGGCTAAATTTGGTGTAGATGGCATACATAGTACCCCACAGTACCCCTCTGAGCGTGGCAGCGCTACAAGTTGACTTTTAATTTCACCCCCTATGAAATACGGCGGAACTTACAGAAAAAATGACGGAATTTACAGATTACGGAATTAACAAAGCGAAGTGTTTAGTCTCCTGACCCGCTGGGTTACAAGATAGGCAAAAACTGTTAACGGTGTCATTTTGAGCATCCAAAATAGCGTTTTTCAGCGCAGGTTGTGGGAACTTTCTCCCTCAGATGGAGGAGCTACGGCCCGAAACGGAATTTACATCTATTTGTACACCCTTACCGTTTTGAACAATTCTGACGGCCTGGAAGCGTCGTTTGACCGCCCCAGGTCCCGCGGGCATGGGTTTCTGGAAGCGTTTTTTATGTTCTTTCGATCCCAAGTGGTCGCGAGGTTCTTAAACGAAAAGGAACCCCAGTAGACCGTCAGTTGTGAAAGCAGCATAGGTGACATGGTCACGCGGTGGACATTTTCCCATAGGCTGTTTCGGGTTCAACCAGTGATGATACAAAGGTCATTTTCCGTAATTTTGCGAAGAATAAGTCAGGGAAGAGAGTGAAATAGCCTGTTTTCTTTTGATGTGGCTGAGTCATATACTACAGCATGGCAATGTTGTCTTATAGGTGTTGGTGACCATGACGGAACTTACAAAACGACACTTTAGCAGCTTACGAAACCTAGAAAAACAAAAGTTAGATTGACTTATCCACATGAGGACATGGTCTTCGTTTAGTAAAACGAATTTGAGTTGCCCAAGCTACCAAATCAACCTCAGTTCAGGCGCAAGGCCCCGGTGACCTGGAATGACCCCCTACGCACGGAATCACCCGAATAACTTCTGTTGAAATTAGAAGACATGTTAGCAGTCTTGGTTTGTCTCGGGGAAATGACATTCTATTGCAATGCTGCAAGCTAACATAAATATTCTAGTACTTACATCTATTGATTCAAAGAATCCATAAATAGATGTATTTTGTGCAATAAAGAATCCATATATTTAGTGCTTACAAATTTTGAACTGATATTGGGTTCAATGAGACGATTCAGGTTTTGAGCGGTGGGTGACTTGGTTATAGCATTTAAGGGGGCACACCAGTGAAAATGCAGAGGTCTCGAAAAACGATCATTCTGAGAAAAGTAACTAATGTATTTGATTGATATTTTATTCTTGGCTTAAAATTATACCAAAGAAAAGAAAAATCAGTATGGGGGGGCGGGGTGGCGATGGCAAGACGGAGCGCCAGTGCACTACATTTTTCTGCGACCTTGCCACACTCGTGCCACGATTCCGCCTCTTTGCATTGAGCCTCGAGCACGGGATTTGAAAATTTCTCAACAGGACACATGTGGCTATGGTCTGAACCACGGGCATGCCAAAAAAATGATTTTGAATTTGGTTTTTCAAAAGGCAAAAATAGAAACAAATTTTTTTACCAATTTTTTCGCGCTTTCATGGCTGCTGCTCACGTCTTTTATATCGGATGGCCATTTCCGAGGTTCAGACCATAGACGCAAGTTAAACGAACATTTTGCCGCAAACCGCATTTAATTATCTCAATTTTTGCGCCCGTGAGAGTGGCACAAAGGTACAGAACAGGTGTTTTGAGAAAAAGCCCTAAAAGTAGAAACATAGATTTAACGTGTTTTTTCCGGATTAAAAATGCGCCTTTTGACGTATTTTAGTTCCGTTTGCGCCAAAATGTTCCTTTTTTCAACTGCGTTTGGGTGGTTCAGGGGTTTTATAATTGAACTTCGAGTGAAAAACCTTAACGTCAACAATTGGTCTAAAATATGCAAAAAAAATTACTATTTAGCGAATTCAAAAAATGTGCCCAAACCGAAGTAATTGGAATTTTGCGGTGGGGTTTGCGGCGTTCGACTCGGAATGAAAAGCAGAAAAATAAGATGAAATAAAAAAAGAAGGCCAAAATTTGACGATTTTCACTGGTGTGCCCCCTTAATAGGACGATTCCTTTCACTTCACCAAAGCTTGTGTCCGACAACTGGAACTAAGTATTGGTTATGATTTAAAAGCTGGCTTTCTGAATGTAAGCCCAATGTTAATACAGTACTGTATTCTTTTACTCTAAAGATAAAATATCACAAGGCATGAATAAGGTAAATTAAGTCGGCGTATGGAGCAACAAGTGGCCTCTGCATTTGACTTCATGAGACGATTCACTGAATTTGACAAAACTTGTTCTCCGTCGCATGCTTTAGATCAGCCTGCCCTAAACTG